CACTGCATGGCTGGCCACCCCAGCACTGCATGGCTGGCCACCCCAGCACTGCATGGCTGGCCACCGCAGCACTGCATGGCTGGCCACCCCAGCACTGCATGGCTGGCCACCCCAGCACTGCATGGCTGGCCACCGCAGCACTGCATGGCTGGCCACCCCAGCACTGCATGGCTGGCCACCCCAGCACTGCATGGCTGGCCACCCCAGCACTGCATGGCTGGCCACCCCAGCACTGCATGGCTGGCCACCCCAGCACTGCATGGCTGGCCACCCCAGCACTGCATGGCTGGCCACCCCAGCACTGCATGGCTGGCCACCCCAGCACTGCATGGCTGGCCACCGCAGCACTGCATGGCTGGCCACCGCAGCACTGCATGGCTGGCCACCCCAGCACTGCATGGCTGGCCACCGCAGCACTGCATGGCTGGCCACCCCAGCACTGCATGGCTGGCCACCCCAGCACTGCATGGCTGGCCACCCCAGCACTGCATGGCTGGCCACCGCAGCACTGCATGGCTGGCCACCCCAGCACTGCATGGCTGGCCACCCCAGCACTGCATGGCTGGCCACCCCAGCACTGCATGGCTGGCCACCCCAGCACTGCATGGCTGGCCACCCCAGCACTGCATGGCTGGCCACCCCAGCACTGCATGGCTGGCCACCCCAGCAGCATCTGCCCCCCGCATGGCTGGCCACCCCAGCACTGCATGGCTGGCCACCCCAGCACTGCATGGCTGGCCACCCCAGCACTGCATGGCTGGCCACCCCAGCACTGCATGGCTGGCCACCCCAGCACTGCATGGCTGGCCACCCCAGCACTGCATGGCTGGCCACCCCAGCACTGCATGGCTGGCCACCGCAGCACTGCATGGCTGGCCACCCCAGCACTGCATGGCTGGCCACCCCAGCACTGCATGGCTGGCCACCCCACGCACCCCCCAGCACTGCATGGCTGGCCACCCCAGCACTGCATGGCTGGCCACCCCAGCACTGCATGGCTGGCCACCCCAGCACTGCATGGCTGGCCACCCCAGCACTGCATGGCTGGCCACCCCAGCACTGCATGGCTGGCCACCCCAGCACTGCATGGCTGGCCACCGCAGCACTGCATGGCTGGCCACCCGCATGCAGCTGGCCACCCCAGCACTGCATGGCTGGCCACCCCAGCACTGCATGGCTGGCCACCCCAGCACTGCATGGCTGGCCACCCCAGCACTGCATGGCTGGCCACCGCAGCACTGCATGGCTGGCCACCCCAGCACTGCATGGCTGGCCACCCCAGCACTGCATGGCTGGCCACCCCAGCACTGCATGGCTGGCCACCCCAGCACTGCATGGCTGGCCACCCCAGCACTGCATGGCTGGCCACCGCAGCACTGCATGGCTGGCCACCCCAGCACTGCATGGCTGGCCACCCCAGCACTGCATGGCTGGCCACCCCAGCACTGCATGGCTGGCCACCGCAGCACTGCATGGCTGGCCACCCCAGCACTGCATGGCTGGCCACCCCAGCACTGCATGGCTGGCCACCCCAGCACTGCATGGCTGGCCACCGCAGCACTGCATGGCTGGCCACCCCAGCACTGCATGGCTGGCCACCCCAGCACTGCATGGCTGGCCACCCCAGCACTGCATGGCTGGCCACCCCAGCACTGCATGGCTGGCCACCCCAGCACTGCATGGCTGGCCACCCCAGCACTGCATGGCTGGCCACCCCAGCACTGCATGGCTGGCCACCGCAGCACTGCATGGCTGGCCACCCCAGCACTGCATGGCTGGCCACCCCAGCACTGCATGGCTGGCCACCCCAGCACTGCATGGCTGGCCACCCCAGCACTGCATGGCTGGCCACCCCAGCACTGCATGGCTGGCCACCCCAGCACTGCATGGCTGGCCACCCCAGCACTGCATGGCTGGCCACCCCAGCACTGCATGGCTGGCCACCGCAGCACTGCATGGCTGGCCACCCCAGCACTGCATGGCTGGCCACCCCAGCACTGCATGGCTGGCCACCGCAGCACTGCATGGCTGGCCACCCCAGCACTGCATGGCTGGCCACCCCAGCACTGCATGGCTGGCCACCCCAGCACTGCATGGCTGGCCACCGCAGCACTGCATGGCTGGCCACCCCAGCACTGCATGGCTGGCCACCCCAGCACTGCATGGCTGGCCACCCCAGCACTGCATGGCTGGCCACCCCAGCACTGCATGGCTGGCCACCCCAGCACTGCATGGCTGGCCACCGCAGCACTGCATGGCTGGCCACCCCAGCACTGCATGGCTGGCCACCCCAGCACTGCATGGCTGGCCACCCCAGCACTGCATGGCTGGCCACCGCAGCACTGCATGGCTGGCCACCCCAGCACTGCATGGCTGGCCACCCCAGCACTGCATGGCTGGCCACCCCAGCACTGCATGGCTGGCCACCGCAGCACTGCATGGCTGGCCACCCCAGCACTGCATGGCTGGCCACCCCAGCACTGCATGGCTGGCCACCCCAGCACTGCATGGCTGGCCACCCCAGCACTGCATGGCTGGCCACCCCAGCACTGCATGGCTGGCCACCCCAGCACTGCATGGCTGGCCACCCCAGCACTGCATGGCTGGCCACCCCAGCACTGCATGGCTGGCCACCCCAGCACTGCATGGCTGGCCACCCAGCACTGCATGGCTGGCCACCCCAGCACTGCATGGCTGGCCACCCCAGCACTGCATGGCTGGCCACCCCAGCACTGCATGGCTGGCCACCCCAGCACTGCATGGCTGGCCACCCAGCACTGCATGGCTGGCCACCGCAGCACTGCATGGCTGGCCACCCCAGCACTGCATGGCTGGCCACCCCAGCACTGCATGGCTGGCCACCCCAGCACTGCATGGCTGGCCATCCCAGCACTGCATGGCTGGCCACCCCAGCACTGCATGGCTGGCCACCCCAGCACTGCATGGCTGGCCACCCCAGCACTGCATGGCTGGCCACCGCAGCACTGCATGGCTGGCCACCCCAGCACTGCATGGCTGGCCACCCCAGCACTGCGTGGCTGGCCACCCCAGCACTGCATGGCTGGCCACCCCAGCACTGCATGGCTGGCCACCCCAGCACTGCATGGCTGGCCACCGCAGCACTGCATGGCTGGCCACCCCAGCACTGCATGGCTGGCCACCCCAGCACTGCATGGCTGGCCACCCCAGCACTGCATGGCTGGCCACCGCAGCACTGCATGGCTGGCCACCCCAGCACTGCATGGCTGGCCACCCCAGCACTGCATGGCTGGCCACCCCAGCACTGCATGGCTGGCCACCCCAGCACTGCATGGCTGGCCACCCCAGCACTGCATGGCTGGCCACCGCAGCACTGCATGGCTGGCCACCCCAGCACTGCATGGCTGGCCACCCCAGCACTGCATGGCTGGCCACCCCAGCACTGCATGGCTGGCCACCCCAGCACTGCATGGCTGGCCACCCCAGCACTGCATGGCTGGCCACCCCAGCACTGCATGGCTGGCCACCCCAGCACTGCATGGCTGGCCACCCCAGCACTGCATGGCTGGCCACCCCAGCACTGCATGGCTGGCCACCCCAGCACTGCATGGCTGGCCACCCCAGCACTGCATGGCTGGCCACCCCAGCACTGCATGGCTGGCCACCGCAGCACTGCATGGCTGGCCACCCCAGCACTGCATGGCTGGCCACCCCAGCACTGCATGGCTGGCCACCCCAGCACTGCATGGCTGGCCACCCCAGCACTGCATGGCTGGCCACCCCAGCACTGCATGGCTGGCCACCCCAGCACTGCATGGCTGGCCACCCCAGCACTGCATGGCTGGCCACCCCAGCACTGCATGGCTGGCCACCCCAGCACTGCATGGCTGGCCACCCCCAGCACTGCATGGCTGGCCACCCCAGCACTGCATGGCTGGCCACCCCAGCACTGCATGGCTGGCCACCCCAGCACTGCATGGCTGGCCACCGCAGCACTGCATGGCTGGCCACCCCAGCACTGCATGGCTGGCCACCCCAGCACTGCATGGCTGGCCACCCCAGCACTGCATGGCTGGCCACCCCAGCACTGCATGGCTGGCCACCCCAGCACTGCATGGCTGGCCACCCCAGCACTGCATGGCTGGCCACCGCAGCACTGCATGGCTGGCCACCCCAGCACTGCATGGCTGGCCACCCCAGCACTGCATGGCTGGCCACCCCAGCACTGCATGGCTGGCCACCCCAGCACTGCATGGCTGGCCACCCCAGCACTGCATGGCTGGCCACCCCAGCACTGCATGGCTGGCCACCCCAGCACTGCATGGCTGGCCACCCCAGCACTGCATGGCTGGCCACCCCAGCACTGCATGGCTGGCCACCCCAGCACTGCATGGCTGGCCACCCCAGCACTGCATGGCTGGCCACCGCAGCACTGCATGGCTGGCCACCCCAGCACTGCATGGCTGGCCACCCCAGCACTGCATGGCTGGCCACCCCAGCACTGCATGGCTGGCCACCCCAGCACTGCATGGCTGGCCACCCCAGCACTGCATGGCTGGCCACCCCAGCACTGACCCCCAATATCCTCCAAGAGCCATGGCTGGGGTAACTGACCCCCAATATCCTCCAAGAGCCGTGGCTGCTCTGGGCTTCATCCGCTGCGCGCACCGCCTCTCTCCCCCTTCTCTCGTTCTCTACACCTCCTTCCACCGAGCCTCGCCTCCCCTCATCCCCCCCTTCCCCCTTCCCTCTCCCCCCCACCAGCAAGTGAAGTGTGGCTGGCCAGCCCCGCCCCGCCATGCCATCCAATAGCCGTCCGTCGGCCCAACATCCACCCAGCAGAGCACTTCCTTGCCTTCCTGTTCCGCTTCCTCTCCTCTTTCCAAACCCGCCTCAACACCGCACGCGTGGAGTCCGATGTCCCTCTGGCCCTCCTGCCCCTCCTGCCTTCCTGAGCCGCTTGCCCCCTTTAACCCCCCCTCCCCCCCCCACGGGCCCCCCTTTTGCCCGCTCCCCAACAGCGTCTGACGCGTGGCTGGCCAACCCTGCTCTCCCCTCCGACATCCTCCAAGAAGCAGTTCCTGGGAACATCCGCCGCGCCGAGCACTTCCTCGCATTCCTGCGCCGCTTCCTGGCATACCTGCAAACCCGACTCAACACGACACGCGTTGAGTCGGAGGGGCCGCTGGCCTTCCTGCACGCGCTGCAGGCGGCAACGGGCATCGAGAGCAAGAGCCTGCAGCTGTGCTACGACCGCCTGCAGTCACTGCTGCTCACGCTGCAGGTGGCGGAGGTAGACGAGATGGGGTACCTGCAGTGCGTCTGCGACCTGGCCACGCTGGTTGGGACGTACACCCGCGGGTTTGCCATCATCATAGAGCCCTTTGATGAGCGACAGCCGCAACTAGCTGACCCTGTATTGCAGGTAGGGTGCAGGTGGTGCTGGTAGGGTGCGTCACGTAGGGTGCAGCACGTGGGGTGCGTCACGTGGGGTGCAGCACGTGGGGTGCAGCACGTGGGGTGCAGCACGTGGGGTGCAGCACGTGGGGTGCAGCACGTGGGGTGCAGCACGTGGGGTGCAGCACGTGATCTGCTCCCCTTTGTCTGAGTCGCGGCTGAGCTGATCATCCTGCAGGTGGCAGAGGTGGGTGGTTGGGATGGGGTACCTGCAGGGCGTCTGCGACCTGGCGGCGCTGGTGGGCACGTGTACGAGGGGGCGTGCCACCATTATCGGCCCTGGTGGGCACGTGGTGCAGGTAATATGCGCGTGCCCATCTGCTGGCACAGAACACGCAGGGGGGGAGGTGCAGGGAATGTGTTGCCTTGGGATGCAGTCGCTGCTGCTGGCGCTGCTGCTGACGCTGCAGGTGGCGGAGATGTAAAAGATGGGGTACCTGCAGTGCAGGTGCGACTTGGCTACATTTGTAGCCAACATCACAAGGCGAAGCCCCTCGTACACGAGAGGCGTTGCCATCGTCATCGAGCCATTCGACGAGAGCCAGTCGACTAGAGCCAGTCGACGAGAGTCATTCGACGAGAGCCATTCGACGAGAGCCATTCAACGAGAGGCAGCCTCACGTTTACACAGTCGCAACTAGCCAACCCTGCATTGCAGGTAACGACTTTATACTTGAAGAAAAATATTTATGCGTACATGTATCTCTACATATATGCCCATCAGGTGCTAGTGCAGACGTGCGCAAGACGGTTTGTGATTATCTTTGAGCCTGTTGCTGAGAGGCAGCCTCACGGTTGATTGGTTCCACATTGCGATTATATCAAGACTTCAGAATCTTCACATTTGAGTGGTTACCTTCCGCCCTTTCGTCTCCCCCCCTCCGCCCCCCTGCACTGCAGCTGAGCTGTCTGGACGCGTCGCTGGCCATCCGGCCCACATTTGAGCGCTTCCAGAGTGTCATTATTACGAGCGGCACGCTGAGCCCCATCGACCTGTACCCGCGCCTGCTCAACTTCCAACCCGTATGCATCCGCTCCTTCACGATGTCACTATCGCGGGACTGCCTCTGCCCGCTCGTCGTCACTAGGGGCAGGTGAGGAAGGGTTCGGTCTGTTGTCTTGTCTCTACCCGCGCCTCCTCAACTTCCACCCCGGTTATGTCTGTTGCCCACCGCGTCTCTACTGCATCTGTTCCCCGTGTGCATCCCCCATGGACGCGCTGCTTGCCGTCCCTACCATCTCTCCCAGCGGGTGATGGATGGACCACCAGTGCCTGTGTTGACCCTCCTGCCCCCTCTGCCTCCTGCTGCACCTCTCAGCGACCAGCTCCCGCTGAGCACGCGGTTCGACATGCGCAGCGACCCCGGGGTGGTGCGCAACTACGGGCGGCTTCTGGTGGACATGGCGGCGTGCGTGCCGGACGGCATCGTTTGTTTCTTTGTGAGCTACGCGTACATGGATGGCATCGTGAACAGCTGGAACGACATGGGCATCCTCAAGGTGAGATGGAGGGGAGGTGATGGGGGCATACATAGGCATTCCCAAGGCGAGTGGGGCATTCCCAAGGCGAGGAGAGGAGGTGGTGAGGTGCATAGGCAACCTCAAGGTGAGTTGACGAGGTAATGGGTGGAGACTTTCCATGATCTTGCTGAATGATGATCTTGCTGAATTGCCAGCAGTCCACGAACACTGAAGACCAATCCTATCCTATATGATTACCAAACCTTTCTATTTCTCGATGCTGAAATCTGTGCAGGGAACAATAGCCTTTTCCACCTATCCTTGCCCCTGCCCCATGCCCCGTGCCCCATGCCCCACGCCCCATGCCCCGTGCCCCATGCCCCGTGCCCCATGCCCCGTGCCCCATGCCCCGTGCCCCATGCCCTGTGCCCCATGCCTCATGCCCCATGCCCCACGCCCCATGCCCCACGCCCCATGCCCCACGCCCCATGCCCCACGCCCCATGCCCCACGCCCCATGCCCCACGCCCCATGCCCCATGCCACATGCCCCACGCCCCATGCCCCATGCCACATGCCCCATGCCCCATGCCCCATGCCCCACACCCGATGCCCCATGTCACGCACCCCAAACCATGATGCACGCCCCATGACCCCCCAGGAGGTGATGGAGCACAAGCTCGTGTTCATCGAGACGCAGGATGTGGTGGAGACCACGCTCGCGCTCGACAACTACCGTCGGGCGTGTGACTGTGGCCGGGGGGGCGTCTTCTTCTCCATCGCCAGGTGGGTCCCTTTGAGAAGGCGAAGCATGCCTTTGAAAAGGCAAAGGCAAGGCGTTACACGTGGCAGCATGTGGTACTCTTGCGGCCGGGGGGACGTTTTATTCTCCTCTGCCAGGTGAGAAGTACATGGTGATGCCAGTAGTTGCTGTGAGGTGTCCAGTCCATGCAGTATATGCAGGTTAGGCCCTCTTAGCCATATCACACCAGTTTTTCATCTTCGCCTTCAAAACTCACCCTCCCTACCTTTTCACTTCCTTGCTCTCCTCCACTCCCTCTCCCTTACTCTCCCTCCTCCCCCCATCCCTCCTCTCACACCCCACTTATTTGTTATCGCCTCCCATTGTTCTCTCTCTCGTCTCTCTCGTGTCTCTCGTCTCGCCCGTCTCTCTCCTCTCTCTCCTCTCTCTCGTCCTCTTCCGGTTGCTCTCTCTGTTTCCTCAAGACCAGGGGCAAGGTGGCGGAAGGGATCGATTTTGACCGCCATTACGGCCGACTCGTTATAATGTTTGGTGTTCCATTCCAGTACACTCTAAGCAGGTAGCCTCCCCTTTATGTTTTGCCAGTAAGGTAATTCTTTGCACAAGCCATATGGAATGGATTTTTTTTGCATTTTTCAAGTCCTAGCACATACACTTCCCTCCTCTAGTGGTTCATTGCATGTCCCTAACGGCTCGTTCATTGCATGTCCCTAAAGGCTCGTTCATTGCATGTCCCTAAAGGCTCGTTCATTGCATGTCCCTAAAGGCTCGTTCATTGCATGTCCCTAAAGGCTCGTTCATTGCATGTCCCTAAAGGCTCGTTCATTGCATGTCCCTAAAGGCTCGTTCATTGCATGTCCCTAAAGGCTCGTTCATTGCATGTCCCTAAAGGCTCGTTCATTGCATGTCCCTAAAGGCTCGTTCATTGCATGTCCCTAAAGGCTCGTTCATTGCATGTCCCTAGGCTCGTTCATTGCATGTCCCTAAAGGCTCGTCCATTGCATGTCCCTAAAGGCTCGTCCCTTGCATTTCCCTAAAGGCTCGTTCACTGCATGTCCCTAAAGGCTCGTTCATTGCATGTCCCTAAAGGCTCGTTCATTGCATGTCCCTAAAGGCTCGTCCATTGCATGTCCCTAAAGGCTCGTCCATTGCATGTCCCTAAAGGCTCGTCCATTGCATGTCCCTAAAGGCTCGTTCATTGCATGTCCCTAAAGGCTCGTTCATTGCATGTCCCTAAAGGCTCGTTCATTGCATGTCCCTAAAGGCTCGTTCATTGCATGTCCCTAAAGGCTCGTTCATTGCATGTCCCTAAAGGCTCGTTCATTGCATGTCCCTAAAGGCTCGTTCATTGCATGTCCCTAAAGGCTCGTTCATTGCATGTCCCTAAAGGCTCGTTCTTTCCATGTCCCTAAAGGCTCGTCCATTGCATGTCCCTAAAGGCTCGTTCATTTGGTCACGTTTCTAGAGATCCGAGCAATGTCTCGACCGAAGTTTACATGCAGAAATGGAAACAAGAGGCAGAAATAGAAACAACAAGAAGCCGAAAAAAAAATCGAGAAAAGCCTCCTTTTCTCTCACCCACCCACTATCCCTCTTCACAATTACTCTTGTGCTGTCTCTGCCCTGTGTCCCTGTCCCTCTGCCTCTGCCCTGTGTCCCTGTCCCTCTGCCTCTGCCCTGTGTCCCTGTCCCTCTGCCTCTGCCCTGTGTCCCTGTCCCTCTGCCTCTGCCCTGTGTCCCTGTCCCTCTGCCTCTGCCCTGTGTCCCTGTCCCTCTGCCTCTGCCCTGTGTCCCTGCCCCTCTGCCTCTGCCCTGTGTCCCTGCCCCTCTGCCTCTGCCCTGTGTCCCTGCCCCTCTGCATCTGCCCTGTGTCCCTGCCGCTCTTCCTCTGCCCTATGTCCCTGTCCCTCTGCCTCTGCCCTGTGTCCCTGTCCCTCTGCCTCTGCCCTGTGTCCCTGTCCCTCTGCCTCTGCCCTGTGTCCCTGCCCCTCTACCTCTGCCCTGTGTCCCTGCCCCTCTGCCTTTGCCATGTGTCCCTGCCCCTCTGCCTCTGCCATGTGTCCCTGCCCCTCTGCCTCTGCCCTGTGTCCCTGCCCCTCTGCCTCTGCCCTGTGTCCCTGCCCCTCTGCCTCTGCCATGTGTCCCTGCCCCTCAGAATACTGCGCGCGCGCCTGGAGTATCTGCGGGAGACGTTTCAGATCCAGGAGAACGACTTCCTCACCTTCGATGCCATCGTGAGGCGCTAGATGCGGTGATGTATTTTGAGTCGACTTAACATACACCTTCGATGCCATTGTGAGGCGCTAGATGCGGTGATGTATTTTGAGTCGACTTAAAATACACCTTCGACCCCAACGTGGGGCGCTAGATGCGGTGATGTATTTTGAGTCGACTTAAAATACACCTTCGATGCCATCGTGGGGCGCTAGATGCGTTGGCCCTCGATGGTTGTTAGGACCAGTCTGAGGCCCAAGGCCAGTTGTGTGGCAGTGGCTGCACGCTAACTTCCACACATTCTGACGCATACGGAGTGACTGCACAAGTACTTGTATGGCGAGGGTCCTTGCATGAGCACTTGCTCTGCCGTGCTCATCATCGTCACCTTGAGAAACACCCCTTGCTTCTCGCACCTGCACTGTTTTGCATCCTCATCCCATCCAAACCTTTTCTTCTTCTTCTGCTTTCGCCCAGACTCACCCCCTTGCCACCTGTTGCCCCCTGATCCACCCCCCACTTGGCCCACGCGTCCCGCCAGAGGCAAGCAGCCCAGTGTGTGGGGCGAGTCATTCGGTCGAAATCAGACTACGGCATTATGATTTTCGCTGATAAGCGGTGAGGGCCCTCGAAAGGCATTGCAGCAATATTGCATCATGATCGGTTTGATATAAGACGCAATGGCCCTTTCTTGATCTGGGCGCTGTAAAACCCCTTCTTGATTTATTTTTCTCGCCCTTAGTCTTTTGCTTGCTCGCTGGTTCTTCCATCCACCACTCTCCCTGTTGCCCTTGCTTACACAACACAGCGCCCCTCCGCCTCCTCCCCCCCTCTCATCTCTTCCCCTCGCTCAGGTGCTGCAGTAAGCTGCTCTTGAGTCGACTCACAAGCGATCACTCCTCCTTTCCCCTCCTCCTCTCCCTCCCCCCTCACCCCCCTCCCCCAGGTACAACCGGCACGACAAGCGCAGCAAGCTACCGGGGTGGATTCTGTCGCAGCTGCCCGACGCCCACCTCAACCTCTCCACTGACATGGCTGTGCACATCGCCAGGGAGGTGGGTGGAGTGTAGGAGTGGCGAGTGAGAGAGGAGAGCCTGCAAGCTCACATGAGCGAGATGAGGGGAGCTGCCAGACGCCCATCTAGACCTTTCCACTGACATGGCCTGCACATTGCACGAGAGGTGGGTGGTTTGGGGAGTGAGAGAGGAGAGTGAGTGGGGCGGGGAGTGGGTGTACCCCTCTCTCAGCTGCCAGACGGACGCACGCCTCAACTTCTCAGAGAGGGAGGTGAGTGAGGGAGGTGAGGTGGAGAGTGTATGAGTACACCAACGAGATGAGACGAGCTGCCAGACGCACACCTCGACCTCTCCACTGACATGTCTGTGCACGTCGCGCAGGAGGTGAGTGAGAGGGGTGAGAAGAAGGTGAGGAGGAAAGTTTGTGCGCTTGCAGCAAGAGAGGTGAGGCGAGCTGCCAGGCGCACAGCGACACTCCTCACTGTCATGGCTGGGCACATTGCGCAGGAGGGGTGTGTGGGGGGGGGGGGGGGAGAAGTGATCGAACCTCTTCCCCGGCTCCTGAAGGCACACCTGTACCTTGCCACTGATATTGCAGGGTGTTTTTGAGAATTTTCAAAAATATCCCGAATGCACACCTGTACCTTGCCACTGATATGCCGTTCCCTTCCTTTTTCCCCAGCCCCACTTCTCGCTTTCTCCCTTTTCCCCGGCCCCACTTCTCGCTTTCTCCTTTTTCCCCGGCCCCACTTCTCGCTTTCTCCTTTTTCCCCGGCCCCACGTCTCGCTTTCTCCTTTTTCCCCGGCCCCACTTCTCGCTTTCTCCTTTTTCCCCGGCCCCACTTCTCGCTTTCTCCTTTTTCCCCGGCCCCACTTCTCGCTTTCTCCTTTTTCCCCGGCCCCACGTCTCGCTTTCTCCTTTTTCCCCGGCCCCACTTCTCGCTGTCTCCTTTTTCCCCGGCCCCACTTCTCGCTTTCTCCTTTTTCCCCGGCCCCACTTCTCGCTTTCTCCTTTTTCCCCAGCCCCACTTCTCGCTTTCTCCTTTTTCCCCGGCCCCACTTCTCGCTTTCTCCTTTTTCCCCGGCCCCACTTCTCGCTTTCTCCTTTTTCCCCGGCCCCACTTTCTCGCTTTCTCCTTTTTCCCCGGCTCCACTTCTCGCTTTCTCCTTTTTCCCCGGCCCCACTTCTCGCTTTCTCCTTTTTCCCCGGCCCCACTTCTCGCTTTCTCCTTTTTCCCCGGCCCCACTTCTCGCTTTCTCCTTTTTCCCCGGCCCCTTAGCGTTGCCGCTGTGGTGCGGGAGGCGCCTCAAAAATAGATTCCTTTTTCCCCGGCCCCACTTCTCGCTTTCTCGCTGTGGCTCCCCTTAAAACCTCCGCTGAGTAATACAGCCATTTGACCGTGCAGCTTTAAGGAGCGGTGTCTGTAAGTCGACTCAGAATGTCTCACTTTCACTACTCACCACCCCCTCCCCGCCTCTCACCCGTGGACCTGATCCCCTTAGTTTCTAAGGCGCATGGCGCAACCGTTTGACCGGGCGGCATCAAGGGGCGGAGCAACAGCCACTCTTCTCAGTGAGGCTGACGTGGCAGTCATGGCTGCATCGATGGGCACAGCGGGGTAGGAGGAGGAGGCGACTAAGAGTGGCAGACGAGGAGGTGGATTACCTAGGAAGAATGGCAATCCAAAGGGTGCGGGCTGACGCAGCACCCACAAAGTGCGAGTGCTCGTCAACCGCTAGGCACTTGAGGATGGTGACACTGTCACAGGATCGAATTGGTCGAGGGAAGTATATACAAGGCGTTTTTATACGTCCAAGGTACATCAGGTAACAAGGTTTATCCTATCCAAAGGGAATAGACTCTTCTAGAAATAGAATCACCCTGTGTATGGCCATACGAGGCTATTGGCTTTAAGGGAATACAACACAATTTTGCTAGATATAGCGCGTCAGTACCAGGGCTGACGTTTCAAAAAAAGGCACTCTGATTTTGCCCCCCCAAAAAATTCCCGAGTCTGAAGGGCCATTTTTCGAAATTTCGCTACTCTGGAATCTCAGTGTCCAAAAGTCAACGAGTCTGAAATACTCAGGGTTCAGAATGCCGACTCAGAGTCCTGCGCCCAAGTCAAAATCTTAGATTTCCAGTGTTCGCACCAGGCCCCACGACTGGTTTTAGGGTACCATGATTCATCAGCTTTTCGTCAAGAAAATTTACGTGGATTCATCAGAGTTTCCTAGCAAAAAATTGCCTTTTCATTAGGGCGTGTTAAAAAAAAACTGATTTGGCAACTAGGAGAGAGGATTTCAGTTTTTTTTTAAGTTGCATTCGACTAAGAGTAAATTCCGCATTCTAATAACAGTCGTTTCTATTAGGCGAAACTCTCGACAGCTGCCCGTTTGGTCAACTGAAATTCTATAAAAATGTGACGGTCACGATAGATTGCGATCGTTTCGACGTTTTTTAACCATTCGATGGTTGCAAGTGATAAACGTCCAAGATCGATCAACCGGGGCGCGATCCTCTCCCCTCCCCCTCAATTTTCGAACCCACCCCCCCCCCTCCACCCCCCCACCCCCCCCCCACCCCCCCCCCCCCTCCCCCTCCGTTTCGCTTCCCCCCTCCCCTCCGTTTCGCTTCCACGCCTCCCCTCCGTTTCGAACCCCCATCCCCCTCCCCTCCGTTTCGTTCCCCCCTCCCTTCTGTCAAACATGTGTATTTGTCATGTTTGTATAGACTGTATAGGGTAGCCTCTTAGAGGGTACAACACTTAGGTATATCAGTGTGTACCCTCTCTCTAACATCATTCACTTCTTCAATTTTTGATATGGTATCACGCGTAGGTAGGATCCCCCCCCCCCACCTACCGCTTCCGCTCGCCCCCCCTAGCCCCGTCGCGACCCCCCCTAGCCCCGTCGCGCCCCTTCCTGGGACCCGTCGCGCCCCTCCCTGGGCCCCGTAGCGCCCCTTCCCGGGCCCCGTCGCGCCCCTCCCAGGCCCCGTCGCGCCCCTCCTGGGCCCCGTAGCACCCCTCCTAGGCCCCGTCGCGCTCCTCCTAGGCCCCGTAACGCCCCTCCTGGGCCTCGTCGCGCCCCTCCTGGGCTCCGTAGCGCCCCTCCTCGGCCCCGTCGCGCCCCTCCCAGGTCCCGTCGCGCCCCTCCTGGGCCCCGTAGCGCCCCTCCCAGGCCCCGTAGCACCCCTCCTGGGTACCGTCGCGCCCCTCCCAGGCCCCGTAGCGCCCCTCCTGGGCCCCGTCACGCCCCTCCCAGGCCCCTTAGCGCCCCTCCCCGCGCCCCTCCCAGGCCCCGTAGCGCCCCTCCTGGGCCCCGTCGCCCCCCTCCCAGGCCCCGTAGCGCCCCTCCTGGGCCCCGTCGCGCCCCTCCCAGGCCCCGTCGCGCCCCTCCTGGGCCCCGTAGCGCCCCTCCTGGGCCCCGTAGCGCCCCTCCTGGGTCCCGTCGCGCCCCTCCCAGGCCCCGTCGCGCCCCTCCTGGGCCCCGTAGCGCCCCTCCCAGGCCCCGTAGCGCCCCTCCTGGGCCCCATCGCCCCCCTCCCAGGCCCCGTAGCGCCCCTCCTGGGCCCCGTCGCGCCCCTCCCAGGCCCCGTCGCGCCCCTCCTAGGCCCCGTAGCGCCCCTCCTGGGCCCCGTAGCGCCCCTCCTGGGTCCCGTCGCGCCCCTCCCAAGCCCCGTCGCGCCCCTCCTGGGCCCCGTAGCGCCCCTCCCAGGCCCCGTAGCGCCCCTCCTGGGTCCCGTCGCGCCCCTCCCAGGCCCCGTAGCGCCCCTCCTGGGCCCCGTCGCGCCCCTCCCAGGCCCTGTAGCGCCTCTCCTAAGCCCCGTCGCGCCCCTCCTGGGCCCCGTAGCGCCCCTCCTGGGCCCCGTCGCGCCCCTCCTGGGCCCCTGCAGCGCCCCTCCTGGGCCCCCCGTCGCGCTCGCCCGGCCCCGTCGCACCAGCCCGGCCCCGTCCTGCTCGCCCGGCCCCGTCGCACCCGCCCGGCCCCGTCGCACCCTGCCCGTCCCCGTCGCAGCCGCCCGGCCCCGTCGCACCAGCCCGGCCTCGTCGCGCCCGCCCGGCCCCGTCGCACCGGCCCGGCCCTGTCGCCCCCGCCCGGCCTCGTCGCCCCTGCCCGGCCCCGTCGCGCTCGCCCGGCCCCGTCGCCCCGGCCCGGCCCTGTCGCACCAGCCCGGCCCCGTCGCGCCCGCCCGGCCCCGTCGTCCTTGCCCGGCCCGGTCGCACCTGCCCGGCCCCGCTGCCCCGGCCCCGTCCTCCTCACTGGTACGGTTCCCCCCCACCCCGCCCTGCACTGCCCTGCACCGTACCGCCACGCACCACACTGTACTGCCTTGCACCGCACTGCATCGCACTGCACCGCACTGCACCGCGCTGCACCGCACTGCACCGCACTGTACCGCACTGCACCGCACTGCACCGCACTGCACCGCACTGTACCGCACTGCACTGCACTGCACCGCCCTGCACCGCACTGGACTGTTCCTGATGGCGGCGGAGCTTCGCTTCGACGCTGAAGGTCAGCCCCTAGAGTTCGAGGCGTGGCTTGCCGACCTCCGCCGCCAGCTCACTGGCCAGCGGCAGGATGGTGAACCGCTTTCCGCACACCTTGACGGTACGCTCCCCTGCCCAGACCCCCCTGCTATTCTGCCCGCTGATCCCACACCCACTGAGCGTGAGTCTACTGCTGCCACTGCCCGTGCGCGCTCTGTCTGGCTTTCTCGCGATGCTGTCGCCCAGCTTGCCATTAGCAACGCCCTCCCCCCGTCCGAGCGTCCTCGCTTTAGGTCCCTCACTACTGCTCAGGCATACTTAGATGCTGTCATCAAGCGCTATTCCACCCCTCCGGCTGCCTCGGTGGGTCGCCTGATCCTCCCGATGCTCTCACCTGACCTTGCATCTTTCCCCACTGTCTCTGACCTCGCTGCCCACCTGCGCTCGATAGAGGAGACCTGGCGCGCCGCCTGCACTGACGCACAGCTTAGAGCCCACCAGCCGCCCATTACCTCTACCCTCTACCTGCTTGCCACCCGCCTCCCTGACCGCCTTGCTGTCGCCCGCGACCGCTTCCTTAGCCTTCACCCTGCCGACCTCACCCTCACTGACTTTGTAGACACCCTGACTGTCATAGAGACCCGTCACCGCTCCATCGCCCAGGCGAGCGGTGTCGTGCGTGTCCCTATCTTTCAGGGTTGTGCCCCCGCCCAGTGTACCTTCTCCGACGGCTCTGCCACAGTGGCTGAGACTGCTGCTGCAGCGCAGTTTCGTTCGGGGAAGGGCCGCCGCCCCAAGGTTGGGCGCGGCGGAGGCGGCGGCGGGGGTGCGGGAGGGGGTAGTGGTGGGGTCGGGTCGTCTGGTGCTGGAGCAGACGAGGGGACCCTGCCCAGTCCAGCTGAGCCGCCGCCCCTGCAGTTGCAGCAGCCGCAGCAGTCGCCGCAGTCGCAGCTGTCGCAGCAGCCGCCGCAGCCGTCGCAGCCGCGGCAGACGAGTGTCCTCCTGCCCGGGTGGCCCGGCGCTGGCGGTGGCCGGGCGCGTGGTGGTGTGTCGAATGGTAGCTCTGGCGGCGGGCGCTGTCAGTACCAGATCCAGACCGGTCCTCGCCGCGTCTTCGTTTGCGGTAAGCTCGGTCACTCCACTCCCCGCTGTTTTCGTCGCCTGGACGACCTCTTTCGTCAGCGCTTCGGCCCGTCGCCAGACCTCCCGGACTGGCACAGTTTGCTTAGTCGTAAGATTCAGATCTTTGATATGGACATGGATGCCATTGTTTCTGCTCTGCATGTGATGTATGCTGATGAGTCTAGTGTGCTTCCCGCTTATTACTCACTGTTGCCTAGTGTAGGTGTGCCTAGTGTACCCTCCCCTGCTGCGTCAGACGTAGGATCCTTTGCTTTGTGTAGTCTTGGTGCTTCCGCCGTCGTTCCGTCGCCAGACGCCTCTGCTTCGCTTTCCTTCACCTTGGACTCTGGCGCTTCTCGGTGTTTCTTCCGCGACTCCACCACCCTGACGCCGTTTCCCGTCCCTGCTGCCGTTTCTCTCGCTGACCCCTCTGGCGGTCCGGTAGTCGCCCGCAGTTCCACCACCCTTCCCTGTCCGGCGGTTCCTTCGGGCTCTCTTACAGGTCTGCATATCCCCTCGTTCTCCAGGAACCTAGTTGGTGTCGGCTGCCTCCAGGACCTTGGCGTCACCACTACGTTCCCTGGTCACGAGCGGTATGCTGTCTGTACCGAGGCCGCCACTGGTGCCCCCCTGTCCACGTTCCCCCGGGACCCGGTGTCCGGCCTGTTCACTCTGGACACCGTGACCCCCCCGGCTGGAGCGCTCACCCAGGTTGCTGCCGCCTGCTCCTGTCGGTCCCTCACTCACCCGACCCTCCTTTGGCACCACCGCCTAGGTCACCCTGCGCTCCTGCGTCTGCGTCACATGTCCCAGCACGGTCTTGTCCTTGGTCTCCCAGGTTCTCTCCCTGCGTTTCCCTCCTCCCCAGCCCCACCTTGCACGCCTTGTGTCGAGGGTCGGCTTCGCCGTGCCCCTCACTCCTCCTCGTTTCCCCCTACCGCCGCGCCGTTGCAGACCCTGCACCTGGACGTATGGGGCCTCGCCCCTGTCCCTAGGCCGCGTCGAGAGCGCTACTTCCTTGTGCTTGTCGACGACTTCACTCGCTACACCACAGTCTTTCCCTTGGAGCGCAAGGCCGACGTGCCAGGCGCTCTCATCCCCTGGCTTGTCTCTGCGCAAGTCCACCGCGGTCTCCCTGTCTTGCGTCTTCACTCAGACCGTGGTGGCGAGTTTGCCTCCGGTGTCCTTGGTCGCTTTTGTCGTGCGGAGGGCATCACCCAGACGTTCACCCTGCCGGACTCCCCACAGCAGAATGGGGTCGCTGAGCGACGCATCGGTTTGGTCATGGAGGTGGCTCGCACCTCCATGAACCATGCCGGTGCACCCCATTTTCAGTGGCCGTTCGCTGTGCGCTACGCTTCTCACCAGCGTAACCTGTGGCCGCACCCTCAGCAGCCGCAGG